CCACTCACTGTCCTCTCTCATCTCTCTCTCTCTCTCTCTCTCTCTCTCTCCCCCTCTCCCTCCACCTCCGACCGACCTCCCTTTCCCTCTCTCTCTATTGGCTCCTGATAGTCTCCTGTTCCCTATTTCTCTTCTTTCCTTGGGAGGCTTCTCCCTCCATCCCCACTGCAGGCTCCTGCTTGCAGACCCTCGTCTGTGTCCCTACCCTCCAGGACGTGTCCTGGAGATGAGGGGTGACGCACCCGGCACCAGTGGGAAGTCAGGGCTGGAGAGCAGATGGAAGAGGCACGGTGGGCAGACGTGGCCGCCGAGAGCCTAGGAGGGGGCCTGTGCTGCGAGGGGTCTACAGGCGGGCACTGCGTGCAGACCCCGGCAAAGGGGTGCTCTGGGGGCAGCTGGGGACTGTGCAGGGAGAGGGGACAGCAGAATGATCACCAGCTTGGCAGCCAGGAGGGGATCCCTCCTGCCACGGGCAGGTAAGGAGGCTGGGACTGGGGTGGGGTCCCGGAGGGTGGGGTCCCGGAGCCCCGCCCCCCACTCAGGATAAATTTGGGAGGTTGGACCTGATGGCTGGGAGAGGGTGGGAAGGCCCAGAAGGGAAAGAGACTTTCCTGTGACCTCTTGGTGGGCTGTGGGGGTAGGGGGACATTAATCTTGGCGTCACTTCTTGGTGGGCTGTGGGGGTGGGGGACATTAATCTTGGCATTTTGTACCTCGATTCTAGAATCCTGGAATCACAGCACAGCAGAGTGTCAGAGCTGGAAGGAGCCAGGTGCACTGTGTGGCTTGACCTGCGCAGCTCCCATGCCAGCTTCCCTGAGTCCCTGTCTGCTCTGGGCACTGTGCTCGGCACACGCCCGTGCCACCCTCACAGCAACCCTGAGAGGTGCGGACGCCTATCTTTGTTTTGGTCGGCGGGAACTGAGGTCCACAAGAAGGCAGTGACTTGCCCAAGGTCACACAGCAGTTTGGCCTCATCACTCTGTGGCAGAGCCCAAGTCCCAAGCTGGGGCTTGTAGGGCGTGTTCCTGGGGGTCAGGTCCCAGGCTGGGGGTGGGAGTGATTGGGCCCGTAATGACCAGCACACCCCGGGGCCATTCGGGGGAAGGCCCGGGGCCGCAGAGGGTGAGCAGAGTGCAGTTCACCAGGGGGCCGCCCAGTCCCTGCCTGACTCCTTCAAGCCCAAGGCCCTCAGGGAAGCCAGCGAGGCCAGGGGGTACTGATGGCTGCAGAGTAAAGTGAACTGGGTTTGAATTTGGATCTCCTACTCACCAGCTGAGTGACCTTTTGCAAGTCACTGAACCTTTCTGTGCCCCAACTTCCTCCTCTCTAAAAGCCCTCCCTCACAGGCGCTGAGATTTCCTAATGCGAGGTTGGGGCTGGGAGCACCACCCCACCTCGCTCGGAGCTCTGCTCGCGGAACTTCTTGGTCTGTTCCTATTTCCTGATGTTCTGGGTGCTGTGCCAGCTGCTGAGGTTCAAGCAATAAATGGCTCAGGGTCCCTGCGTCCGAGAGCCAACACTAGAGAGAGGCAGGGGTTGGGGACAGACAAATGTGGAACCGCTAGGGTGCCCGGTATTCCAGTCTGGATTGCTGCGGGGCGCAGCGCAGCCACTCACCCCCTCTGGGCTTCCGTCCTCCGAGGCGCGTCCACCCCCAGCTTCCAGGCGCGCTGTGCCAAAGATAAACCAGACAGGGAGGAGGAGTCCCTCCTCCCCCAGGATGAACTAAATCATGCATAGGATTCCAGCTCTTAAAAGAAAAGGCGGCAGGCATCCAAACTGCAGGTCTGGCTGCTGCCCCCGCCCCTGCCCCTGAAGAGCCATTATTGCCCCCATTTTGGCACCCTGGCCTGTTGAACTTGGTCAGGGGAGATGACCCCAGATAAAGGTGGAGGCAGGGTGTCTTTGAGGGGGCAGGGTCGCTGCGAGGAGCTCATTCATTCCTGGTACAAAGGCAGGGCCTGGTGGGTCCCCTGTCTTCCCACCAGGACTGTGTGTGTAGTACCTGTGCCTGTGTGTGGGGGTGCACACGTGTGTGACTGGGCGGGAGGGAGGCTGTCCTCGGAGCTCACCCTCAGGCTTCCCTGGGGCATCGGTCCCTGCAGCCTGGCAGCCAGGCCTGCCCAGCTCACTGCTCCTCTCTCGGGAGCCTAGCGCTCCCCTCCCTCCGCTGAGGGGACGCTCTGAAGAGGCTGTGTGTGCAGGGAGGCAAGGCAGGCGGCTGGGGGATGCGGGGCTCCCGGGCCAAGGAAGCCAGTACTCTCCGGTCCCAGATCCCACAATTCCAAGCCTAAAAAGAGCTGATGCTGGTATTCTGGAACTCTAATATTCTCTGATTCAAGGGCAGGGAGTCTAAAATCCTGTGACTCTGCAACTCAGTTCGAAGAATCTAAAATTCTATTTCGAGGCCTCCAAGAGTCAGTCCAGGGGGTTGGGTCTATGATCCTGAGAGTTTGAGGTCCTGAGGAGCGGAAGGAGCTCTGAAGGGCTGGTCGGAGAGCGGGCTGCCAGCTGGGTGCCCCGACCAGCCGTGCCCTGAGGCAAGCGCCATCCACAGGCCTGGCCTCAGCCCAACAGCTAGGAAGTGGAGGGGATGGGGGATGGCCTTAGGGGTCCTCCCAGCTCTGCCCCTTCATAGTTATGTGACCAGAGCGTGAGGACTCACCTCTGTTCCCTGTCTGTATGTTTGCAATGACAGACACGAATGCCTTCCTCGTAAAACCCATAAGATGCAACATGTCACCAGCTTATGTGCTCAGTGATGAGGAGCTGGCAACACTGTTAGGACTCCAGGAGCCCACTGTCCAGAGAGCCACTCCCTTAGTGATGCCATCCCAGGCTCAGGAGGGCTGATGAGAGGCAGGGTGAAGAGTGGCTTGGGGACACAGGCTGGGGGTTCTCTCCCTGGGCTTGGAGGGGCAGGGAGGGGGTGCTCTGAGCTCAGGCAGCCTGGGGTCTCACTGGGGGGGCCACAGCCAAGGGGTTCTTTGCCCTTCTCAGCATCGCCCTGCCTGGTGCTCAGAACCCTTGGAGCCCCCAGGTCGTCCAGCAGGGCACGCAGGCACCCTCGTGCCCCCTACCCCCCGCAAGACGTGCTTGCTCTGAGTTGGGGCACCACCTTTCCAGGAGCTTTGCACCTGGAAAAGGGTGTTCTGGTAAAGCAAGGCGGACCCCAGGTTCAAACTGGTGGCATTTCAGGCCCATTTCAGTGTTGGGCTGGCAGGAAGATATTGGGTATTGGGGGCGGGGAGTCATTAGGAAGAAGCGAGGAGGCCCAGGCTCAGAGGAGGCTCCAGCTTTTAGCCCTGGCCCCTGAATGAACCTCCTGAGAGCCAGGAAGTCCTGGTGAGGGAGCCAGCAGGGGCCTTTCCCAGCGCAGCCTGAGTCCCCGCTATCAGCAATTCACCCGCCCTTTGCGTTAAGAGATGTCCACTCAGGTTCCTCTGACTCATTTGCATGCTGCCTCAAACATTGATGCAGAGCTTTTGCTTGTGTGACGGGGACAGCTAGCTGGGAGTCAGGGGGAGGCTTCAAAGCTGAGTAAGAGTGTCTGTACCTGTAAGGAGAGTCAAGTCTGGCAGGGGAGGCGGGAGGAGTCCCAGCTCCTCACTGAGCTCCCTCGGGAGGCGTGATAAGAAAGGTGCGAACAGAGTCAATGGGAATGCTGGTCCCGCTGTGCCGGCCTAACTGATGCTCCCAGACCCACCTGAACGTCCAGTTCTCTGGGAGCCAGGCTTGCTGGCTCTGGGGGAGGTGGCTATTCCTGTGTCTACCTCCAGCGTGTTGTGAATTTCTCTACCACGCCTCCCTCTGCGGAGAGAAGGGGCCGAGCCACCCACACCCCAGGTTCACAGCCAGTCATCTTGGGCAGGGTCTTTGCAGGGGCAAAGTGGGACGGACCAGGCAGAAAGGGTCCTGAAGGGCTCTGATTCCCAGGGAAGGGCACACCCTTGAGCCCGTGGCTCTTGATCTGATGACAGCTCTGAGCTTTCAGAGTTCTGGGGGTTCATGAATGCTCTGAAGTTTGTCTAGAGACCCAAGTTCAAGGTTAAGGACCCTATGATGTGCGGCAGTGTTTTCAGATGTGAGGACTGAGACCCGTTGGTAGTGTCTTAGTTCGTTCAGGCTCCGTATAACAGATTACCATTGGCGGGGTGACGTATAAGCAACAGAAATTCATTTCTCACAATTCAAGAGGCTGGAAGTCCAAGATCAAGGCGCTGGCAGATTTTGTGACTGGTGAGCACCTGCTTCCTGGGTCACAGACGGTCATCTTTTTGCCTTGTCCTTCACATGGCAGAAGGGGCAAAGGACCTCCCTGGAGCCTCCCTTTACAAGGGCACTAATCCCATCAGTGAGGGCTCCACTCTCATGACATAATCATGTCCCAAAGGTCCCCCCTCTTAATAACATCACACTGTGGGGTTAGGATTCCGACATACGAATTTGGTGAAGGGACCCATTCAGTCTGTAGCAGTGGGTGATCCACTTGGGGCTCTGCTGGCTGGGACCATCACGTGTAGAAAGGGCAAGTGTCATTTTATGGCTTCATTGGGGTGCTACGTAAAATGCACTGGTATCAGAGATATTTGAAAAGCACCGGTGTTGTCGGCCGATTGAATGATCCACTGATGCCTTTATTGGACGTCTGCGTAGCACTCGCCCTGTGCACAGGTGAAGGGACACAGTGGGGCACAGGTCCATGCTGGCCCCTGCCCTTTGGAGCCAGGTGAGCCCGCATCCCTGAGCTGTGGTGATACAGGGTGCTCACTACCTCTCTGAGGCTCTGTTTCCTCATTGGAGAAGCGGGGGTACCTTGCCGACTTACCCAGCTGTCCTGTGCAGTGAATGAGCAGGTGCATGTCAAACTCTGGCTGAGCACAATTTCAGGGTGATGAAGGAGGGGCCGTGGAGAGAAAGCCACCCTCCACTCTGACCTGGCTGTGTTCTCCTTCCCCCAGGCCAGTAGCTGACTGCTGACCGCCCTCCGCTCAGCCATGGACACCCCTGGCTATCCCCCATCGGTGTCCGCAACCTCGGAACCCGGGAACACCTCCTCGGCCTGGCTCCTGGATGCCACCCTAGGAAACGTGTCTGTGGTCCCGAGCACGGCCGGGCTGGCCGTCCGTGGGGTCCTGATCCCACTGGTCTACCTGGTGGTGTGTGTGGTGGGCCTGCTGGGCAACTCACTGGTGATCTACGTGGTCCTGCGGCACACAGCCAGCTCGTCGGTCACCAATGTCTACATCCTCAACCTGGCGCTGGCTGACGAGCTCTTCATGCTGGGGCTGCCCTTCCTGGCGGCCCAGAACGCCCTGTCCTACTGGCCCTTTGGCTCCCTCATGTGCCGCCTGGTCATGGCCCTGGACGGCATCAACCAGTTCACCAGCATCTTCTGCCTCACGGTCATGAGTGTGGACCGCTACCTGGCGGTGGTGCATCCCACCCGCTCGGCCCGCTGGCGCACAGCGCCCGTGGCCCGCACGGTCAGTGCGGCCGTCTGGGTAGCCTCTGCTGTAGTGGTGCTGCCCGTGGTGGTCTTCTCAGGGGTGCCCCGGGGCATGAGCACCTGCCACATGCAGTGGCCCGAGCCGGCGGCCGCCTGGCGGGCCGGCTTCATCATCTACACGGCCGCGCTGGGCTTCTTTGGGCCACTTCTGGTCATCTGCCTCTGCTACCTGCTCATTGTGGTCAAGATGCGCTCAGCAGGGCGGCGGGTGTGGGCCCCCTCGTGCCAGCGCCGGCGGCGCTCCGAGCGCAGGGTCACGCGCATGGTGGTGGCCGTGGTGGTACTCTTCGTCCTCTGCTGGATGCCCTTCTACGTGCTCAACATCGTCAACGTGGTGTGTCCGCTGCCCGAGGAACCCGCCTTCTTCGGCCTCTACTTCCTGGTGGTGGCGCTGCCCTACGCCAACAGCTGTGCCAACCCCATCCTGTACGGCTTCCTCTCCTACCGCTTCAAGCAGGGCTTCCGCCGGGTCCTGCTTCGGCCTTCCCGCCGCGTGCGAAGCCAGGAGCCCCCTGCTGGGCCTCCAGAGAAGACCGAGGAGGAGGAGGAGGAGGAGGAAGAGGACGGGGAGGAAGGTGCGAAGGAGGTTGGGAGGAAGCGGGCAAGGAAGCAGGGGAAAGAGAAGCAGATGAATGGCCGGGTCAGTCAGATCACACAGCCTGGCACCAGCAGGCAGGAGCTGCTGCCCAGCCACGTGGCCGGCAAGGAACAGCAGTTCCTACCCCAAGAGCCCTCGGCTGGGGACAAGTCGGGCGCATTGCACATCAGCTGTGTGTAGGGACCTGCAGAGGGCCAGAGCGGCCCGAGGACAGAGCCGAGGCTGGGGGTGGGCCGAGGGCAGGCCGCCCAAGGTGCCAGGGACCCACAGTGGGATGTCCAGATCCCATCGCTGCTGAGACTCGCTGCCTGGGGCTCACATTGTCTTCTGTGACTCAGGGATGGGAGTGACTGGATGAGAAGGCTGGAGAGACATTACCGCCGGCTGACCCTCCTGAGTGGAGCCCAGGTTAAGGGGACAGGTGCAGACTGGCTGTCCCCTGCAGAGACAGAGCATCCTGGTGGACTGGCCTGAACCTGGGCCCTCGGAGGGATGAACCGAGGCCTGGGTTTTCTGGGCTCAGAGTCAGGTTCATAAGAGAGGGACGCAGGCCCAGGTTCACAGGGAGCTGGACCAGGGCCGCAAATAGAAGGAAGCCTTACCCCCATGGGGGGAGGGGGAGGGGCTGCTCGGGCCGCGCCAGCTCTCCTTGACTTGCTGCAAGGCCTCCAACCAGCTCTTCTTCTCTCTGGGCTACAAGCCTCCCCTGTTGAGCAACCCAATAACCTCCAGGCCCTCCGGGCCCAGACGCCCAGGCCGGGACCCCTGTGCTCCTGGTCACGAGGAGAAGAGGGAGATTTTCCAAGAAGCCCATTAAGTCCAGCTGCCAGGTCCCTTCCTGCTTGGGCCCATCTGAGACCCTGCGTCTAGTTTTGTACTTGTAAATTTTGTATTGCTTTTCTTAAAGGGGGATCCCCAAATGCAGAAGCTTAGGCCACCCGAAGCCTCGCTCAGCCTCCGCTGAGGACAGCCTACCAACTCCCGACGTGGCTCGCTGTGTCCGGGGTCTCGGGGGTCTCTGGGTCTTTCAGAGCTCGGGGACCTCCTCACAGGAGAAATCATCCCTGTTCCTCCCCTCTCAGTGGCCAAGGCAGGGTCTGACCCTGGCAGACTGTGCCCAGCCCCCTGGCCAGGACGGCTGTGAATGCAGCCCAATGCAAAATCGTAAATTAACCTAAAACGTTACGAGATGTGTGTGTGTGTGCGCGCGCGCGTGTGTGTGTGATTGCGTGCCACAATGTATTTAATGTGTGGCCCTCTTCTTCCAGCATGGCGCAGAGACGCCAAAAGCTTGGACACCCCTGGTCTAGACAGTGCTGAGAGGAGGAGGGTGAAGAGAATGGGGTGGGGAGGGGTGGGGAGAGGGAGAGTAAGGAGAAAGACGAGCTCAAGGAGGAGGACAGAGCTGTTCCCCAACCTTGGAGCTGTTCCTGGCCCCCCGGGCTGAGCTCAGTGGCAGCATCAGTGAAACCGGGTTGCCTGGCGCGACCAGGCTCAAGGAAGCGATGCCATCAGAGTGGAAAAGCAGACGGTCTGAAAGGTGCGGGGCCGGCCCCCTTGGGGGCCTGTCAGCGCAGGTAAGACGGGCAGGACCCGATGGCCATGCAGGGAAGCAAGGCCTGGCAGGTCGGGAGCGGGCCTCTCACCCTCTACCTCTCCCGGGGCTGCAGACTGGAAAGGTCCAGGGAAGACGAGACAAAAAGTGGGACCACAGGGAGAGGCTACAGTCCAAGGCTGGGCCTGGACCATCCAGGACTCCCTCCAAGAGATGACGCCTGAGAGCCACAGCGAGCCTGGCTCCGAGGAGGGTGGCACCTGTAGCTAAACCGCCTAACCCCCGACTCAGCAGAGGGCAAGGGGTCCTCAGGGAAAGTGCACAAACCATGGCTTGGGAGACCCACATCTTTAACACACACTGCCAGATCCTGGCTAGCCTTGGCCTCTCCGGGCCTCAGTTTCCCCATCATAAAGTGGATGCGGTTGTCCCAGCTTGCCTGACTCCTGGGATTTGGGGAGGAAAATGGGTCATGCCAGGTAAACTGCCAAACACACTGTAACGGGTGGGTGTGGGGTGTATCAGATTATAAAGCAGAGGTGGCCCCCCTGCCAGGCTTGGCTACACCCCTTCCTCCTTCATCCTACAACCTCTCTGTATCCGGCCCTTGGAGGTGAGGACAAGACAAAGGTGGACTTGGGGGTCAGAGGCCAAGGATCATGGAGGCAGGACTTAGAGGAGTGTACGGCCCCCTGAGGGGACCTGGGGGTCCAAGCGAGGAGGGACCCCTGGCATTCCAGCGTTCCCTAGCCGGCCCTGCCCCCTTGGTTCCTGGAGCAGGTGAGCCTCTTCTGCAAGGGTGGCTGGGAGGCCCCTTAGGGAAATCCTTTGCTGCTTCTGCCCCTAGCTCTTGTCAATAAAGATGGTGTCACATGACAACAGCCATGGCCTCGGCTGATTCTTTGCCAGGTACTGTGTGTCTAGATCGGTGTGCATGGGTGTGTGTACGCATGGATGTCTGTCTCTATCAGGATGCAGGATGCTCCCTGTACCCATCTCTCGGCTCTGCGTCATGCCCAAGCCTCCCAGAGGCCCGGTCCTCCAAGGAACATGGAAGATGCCGCTGCCAAGCCTCAGTCGACAATGTTACAGATCGTGATACAAAAGCAATAGATACACTCTCTTCTTGAGTTTACAGCTCAAATCTCATGGAAGGAAGCTGACTGGTTCTAGCTAGGTCACATGATGGCCTCCTAGGGTAACAACCAAAGACAAGGTGATAGAGAGCCATGATTGGCCAGATGGGGTCATGTGACTGCCTTTCCAGCCAGAGAGAAGGAAGGACTCTGTGATGAACAGTCTCACCTGACCAGTGGGCTAGGAGTTGGGTGGGGAACAGACTACAATGGCAAAGGGAGGCAGCAAGGCTGCAGCAATAGCAGGCTGGGGTAGGGGTGGGGGATGTAAGCACAGTTCGGGTCCATAGTAGGTGCTCACGGCATCTCAGCTGTATCCATAGGGGCTGAGCGCTGTGTGGGATGGTGCCTGGGCCTGGGTTCCCCCTCCTGCTACTGGACCCCACAACCCCCAAGGTTCCCTACTGCACCGTGCGTCACTGTCTGTGCATGCTTATGTGCTCGCGTGAGTCTGTGTGTCCCGCTCGCCTTGCCCCTCCAGGCAGCGACTACTCCTGATGCATCTGTGTTTCCAGGGCCTGGCGGCACTGTGGGCCCTTCGTGTGCGCATTTGGAATAAATGAATGAATAAGGAGAATTCCACTTCACAGCTCCGGGGGGCGATTTTCACATTGTGACTTGAGCCTTCTTTGGATTTGTAAAAGGTGGTGACCCTGAATAAACAGGAAGCGGGGAGAAGCAGAGGGACAAAAGGAACCTGTATGGAGGTTTGGGGCTGGAATTTGTGGGTTACGGCAGCCGCAAGGACTGTAGGGTAAGGGGAGGCTCTGGGGATGTGAGGCTGAGTGCGCAGGAAGGGGTGCTGATGACCCCCCTTCCCGACTCCTCTTTTCCCCACATCCATCTTGCTCAAACCAAGACCTTCCCTTGAACTTGTCTCTCAGAGGTGGTTGCCAGGCAACCGCCCACGGACACCATGTTCTGGACCGGACTTCATGCATCGGCGCCGGCAGGAGAGGAGAGGAGCTGGGGGTCAGCAGGCCCTGCAGAAGGGGTGGCTGCAGGCCCTCCTCACCAACGAAGGGTTCTCCCTTGGGAAGGGAGAGCCTGGGCTCCAAAGACACAGAAGAAGACACTCTAAAAATGCAAGAGCCACAGGCTGTCACGTGAGGGGCTCTCCCCAGAGCTGTGCCGGGCCACGGTTCCGCCCAGGCCTCAGGGTGCTCTCCTGTCCCTGGCAGGCCCTGGTGAGACTCCCCGTGAGCCCACAGGAAGGCTGTGAGGGAACCGTATCCCTGAAGTCGGGGGGTGCTGGGTCCCAGGCCCACTCTGCCATGAACCTACTGTGTGGCTTTGGGCCCTTCACGTTACCTTTCTGGATGCAGGTCATTATGTTCCCAAAGGTTTTCCTGACATTGGGCTGGGGGTACCATGGAAGAAAACTGACCCGGTTCTTGGACTCTTGGCACTCACAGGCAGCCACACTAATAAATGAGTGTTTCACTACCCAGTGCGGAGGGAGGTGGAGTTTGTTCTGGGGGAGCATACTTGTGGGGAGGGTCAGGGGCGGGGGCTGCGCCGGCCGCAGAGCGCTGGGTGCAAATGTGCCAGGCAGAGGGACCTGCCCCACTGAGGCCTGGAGGCTGCAGGAACGCAGTGAACGAAGGGCAGAGGTGGGGCCCAATTCAGGGACAGAGACAGTGTCAGACGCAACCTCCTAAAAGGCTAAGTCCTGTTGCAGTTTGAATTGTGCCCAACGCCCAATTCATACATTGAAGTCCTAGCCCCTAGCACCTGGGATGTGATCTTATTTGGAAATAAACTCCAAAGGAGGCTAGAATCACAAGGTTGCAGATATAAGTAATTAGGATAAGGTCATACTGCAGTAGGGTGTGCCCCTAATCCAATAGGACTGGTGTTCTTAAGGAAGATTTGGACACAGGCCTGCACACAGGGAAAATGCTGGAGCAATGCTTCTACAAGCCGAGGGCACCAAAGACTGCCTGCAAACCACCAGGAGCTGGGAGGGAGGCCTGGAACAGCTCTCAGAAGGAAGCAACCCTGCCTGACACCTTGATCTTGGATTTTCAGCCTCCAGAACTGAGAGGAAATCAATTTCTGCTGCTTAAGCCACTGTTCTGTGGTGCTTTGTTGCAGTAGCCTTTGCAAACTAATACAATTCCCCACCTGCAAAACAGAGACAAGGGCCCCTCCTGACGCTCCGGGACTGGTGGACTAGCCTGTTTGTTCTTTCCTTCAGAGTGTTCATTGGGCAGCAGACAAGTGCAACAAGCTGAAAGCAGAGAAATACACGGCCGGTCTTTCAGTAACCAAGATAAGAGAGAGAGACAGTTGTCCAGTCCCCTGCCCTGAACTCTGGAATTGCCTGGGTTTGAACTCCAGTTCATCTGTTCACTACCTGTTTGACCTTGAGCCAGCTCATTAAGCTTTTTGTGCCTCAGTTTCCTCTCTGAGTTGAGGATTAGAGTAGGTATCTCTAATGTTAGGAGGTTTAAATGAGTTAATATTTATAAACACCTTAGAACAGT